TACAATATAATGTAAATTTCCCCTATTGTATTCTTACAGATATTCTGAACACTAAAGTATTATATATTATTAATATTCAAAGTAAATTAATTTCACTAATGTAACCCACTAAATCTTTCACACAGACCTACATTTCTAATAAAAAAAATTAAGTTAATAACAAAGATTTCACTTTTAAAACAGTGTTGAAATGTATGCATGCTTACATAATTGCTCTAAAGGTCTAACAAACAAATTTAAAAGCACCTAAAGTAAAGTAAGATGTTTTGATGTGTCACAGCAGGGGAAGCATAGCTGTATTAATCATGCTGCATTTCCAGTTAGTGTCCAAGAGAGCCGTGACAATGTAAACAGCATGCACTTAAGCAGGATGTCTGGAAAAGCCATTGGAGCGTTTACCCTTGATACAAGACTTTAGATTCCTCCACTGATCGGACATTTGGTGGCACACATACTGTCTTTTACATTCAAGTGAAATTAAAGTTTTCACTGGTCTCTATTGCAGTGCTGTAAAAAGTCCAACCTTACTGCTTCCAAAGAAACTAATAGGGCAAATATCAGCCAAATGCACTTAATTAACTGGTCATCAGAAAGTTTGAGCACCTCCATTAAAGCAGAAGCTAGGTCTCTTTGCTGGTGGGGCAAAAACACTCGACTCTACAGGCGTTGGTATGTTCAGGTAATGACAGTACAGTTAGAAAAAAGTCTGAACCAGTATGACTTGTTTGGAAGAGTTCCTGAGAGGAAGTGTGATCTCTAGAAAAAGAATACAGCAACACAGCTTAGGTTTGCAAAGTTGCATCTGGGGAAAAAAAACAAAAAACCCCACAAGATATGTCCTTTGGTGCTAATACGCCGTGTTTGGTTTTCACCAGAGATGGCACCGTGTGTTATGGCCAAATACCTCATACCATTGTTAAGTACGGTGGTGGAAGGGTGATGATTTGGGCTTGTTTTGCAGCCACAGTACCTTTGAATCAACTATGATATCCTCTGGCATATGTTCAGGACAATAGAATAGAATACAGCAGAATAATGAATTGAAATCTAATCTAAGGAAGTATTCACCAACAGCAAAGATGGTAGTAGAAGTAAAAGTTCCTTGGAGGGACCTCCCAATGTCAGACCATGCAATACTCAAACTGTGAGAAACTTAAAAACAAAACTGACTCTAGCATTTAACAGGCTGAGGCCTGTAAAGACTGAACAAGTATGGCTTGTTTGGAAACATTGCTAGCAGAAAACTTTCTCCGTAAAAAGAATATAGCAGCACATGTTAGGTTTGCAAAGTTGCATTTGAATGAGTAATAAGAGTTCTGGAATAACAATTCTGTATACAGTACCAGAGTACTCTGGAGTCAAACTGATAAACATCACTAGTTAACTACTGGGTTAAATGGTACACCAATTAAATTAAACCAGTTGGTAGTTTACCAGAGTTTTCATAACACACCATACAGCGTCACTAGTATGGCATCTGTGTAAACTAGTGGAAAAGTGGCAAATGGCGCCTGAAGACTAGTACAAAGGAATTCAAGCTAGCGTTAAGCACTAACAAAGACCAAAATATGAGAGGAAACTAAAACCTGATGTGAAAGGACAGAATAAATATTGAATTTCTCTTATTTGGACAGATTTTGTTGGAAGCAGCACTGAATACAACAGTCATGTAGCTTCAGCCAGAGTCTGTAATCATTTGTTTTTTAGTGCAAGAGTAGTCAAATCACTTTTAAGAAACAAGACTTGAGAAGTGATGAAAGTAAGGATGGTTAATCTTATAGCCTCATGTCACAGAATGAGAAACCCAACACATTCTAAGCAAATGCAAAAGCTGCTGCAGCAGTTTGACATTTTTAACCTCCGCCTTATTTTTTAGATTTGATTAGTTAAGCTTTAAGATTTTGGCTGACAAACTGGTACTTTAAGTTTTGGACAAATATTAGTTCTTACGAGGAACAGTCACGTTTCCTGTCTCTTGCATTTTTCTTAAGATAACAGTGATCAAGAGGAATGAGTCAAACACCACAGGTATGTTCCCCCCAAAAACAGTTTAATCATAGATGGTCAAAATCATCTCAAGCAGGAAAGGACAGCATTTAATGAAATAACGAATAAATAAATGTCCCACAGGGTAGATCAAATGTGCATTGTACTGTATATGCAAGCTACATTCACCGTCCTTTACGTGCACCTAATACAGTCTTAACAAAAACTTTATCAGGAAAAAACAAAAAGGTGCCGATAAAACATGACAAAACAGCACAAGCAGAGGTGGCGATAACTTTGGAGAAATAGTTTCCCTTTTAAAACACCTTGATTTAAGCCCCTCAGTCCCGCTGGGTGTGACCACCTTAATACAACCTGAAAGAAATCACATTTGAAAGGCAGCAACAAAAATGAAGCATAAAAGTGACACTTTGGGTATGCTGCACCTGTGCACTGGCTCACGCAGAGGCACGTTCATTCAACTTCATAACTCAAGATTACAGAAAATGAGTACATATGTATGGGAAATGAGTTACTCCACATTATCAGTGTATAAAAATCAGTGTTCCAACAGCTCCTTCAGAGCACATGCAAGTGGACATTTATAAGGAAAAAAAAAAAAAAAAAAAAAACCTCAAGTAACAAACAATACAACTGACAAGTTGTAAAATTAAAAAAAAAATGGGGATGATAAAACTGCAATTATGCCTCGAGGAGAACTGAGTCAGCTATAGAAAAAGAAAAAAATATATATACACATATACTCTCATAACTTAACCACACCAACTTGACTGGTTTAAGCTGGAGTGTTTTTCAGTCAGTGTTTGTTAACTGAAAACAGCAAATTAAATTACTTGTCTTAGTCAGTCAGCAGAAGCTCACCAATGTGCACAGAGGTGTGTGAACAATTCAGACTTTGGAAATATCTGAACATTTAAAACTAAACTGAATTTTGTGTGGCCTCCAATTTTCAGGCTGCATTCAATTTGCGTACAACTGAGGGGTACAGAAGAAATTAGGAGCCTTCACATTCCAGCTGCTGAGAATTTCAGGAGATAACTTGTTTACTTTTTCCAGGCGGTGTAAAAAACCCATCTGATAGTTGAGTTAAGGACTGCACATGTACACAAAAACAAATGTTAGACTGGATTGAAACTGAGCTAGATAGATGGGGAAGACCATCTTTATTCACCTGCATGTGGCTTTGGTGTGTTAGTAGACTGTTTTTCAATTAGATCAGTGGTGTTTAGAGTGCATAGTGCTGCAGTGCGTGCAAGCGGCACCTGCAGACAGACGCTTCGACTGGATTATTAAAATCAGATGGTCCTAATGTGCCTGCTAACTAAACCACACTGGCAGGATCAGGTGACCACAGCAAGCAAATATCCCAATTTTAATAATCAGTCCATATGCAAAGGTGACCTATGACAGTGCCTGAATGTCTGGGGTTTTTTGTTTGGTTGTTTTTTTTAAAGCAGACACTTTGAATTTCTCCCTCACGGTATAAGAGCAAAACACCATTATTTAATTTCTCTTCTAATGAAAGCAGAAATGATAACCTAGCCTTAATACTTCAATTCAGTAAACATTTTTATAAATTATGGGACTTGATAGAAAGGATACTGCTCCAGGTAGGATGGAACACACACCACCTCTTTGCGGAAGTCCACTGGACACGAGAGCCTTCCCAGCCGTTCCTCAAACAGATTCAGTGCCTCGGTCAGATTTGCGCTGTTGCCCTGATGGCCAGCAGCAGAAAAGATTCATGAGACTCATACAGATAAATAATTAGGCCCTGACACACAGTAGAAATGATGCGTTCTAATGCTTGGTCATCGTTCCCCGTTATCCACTGTCTCACAGCATGAAGTGTTTCAAATAAATTTATATTTAGTTCACCTTTAAAAACAGTATTGACAAAATCCCCCAATCATGAACTGTATGGTAAATTAGGAGCAGACTCACCTGTGTGAAATACTTTCCACTGGGATGCAGCACTTTTATAGATAGATCTAAAATGAGACGCAGGAACTCCCACGTAGAGTCTACAGAAACCAGACAGCATGTGACAAGTTAAACATTTCTTCACACTGCACCTGTGTGCCACCTTTCCTGATGTATGGCTATTGTTATCAATACCTTCTTCTGGCGAGGTGGATATTGGGATTGCAGTGAGGTCATTAATAACATAATCAAATGTCCTTCCTTCCTGGACATACTTCTTCAGCAAGGGAACACAGTCCTGAATTAATATCTGCAATCCATGAGACGAGGAGATTATTCAAAATGCATCTTCAATTTACCCCTGCTTCAAAACTTTTGTCCTGCCTATTGCCGCTTTAAAAATAAATATTAATAACGCAAAACACATTTTGAACAAATGTGCACACACAAAAAAACAAAAACACACCACACAATTCAGCACTCACTTGGTAACAGTCTCCCTTCAGGTTGTCCAGGATATCACCACAAGTCTTCCTCATGTATTTTTTGCACCCATCTATCACCTTCTGGTCAATGTAGAAGCTTTATTAAGGAACAGTCAGATGCACACACAGAATTACACTGAGAATAATGCAAATCTAAGTGTGGAGATTTGGAGTGATCTTAAAAAAAAAAAAAAAAAAAGTGAATGTTTGCTTTAATATGAACAAAGTCACTCAAATAAAAGCTCAGTAAAGGATATCTCCACCATGGTGATCATCTTTGGCTTTTGTTTGACCAACTCAGCAAGTATTCCTCCATCACCTCCTCCTAAAATCAGCACTTCTTTTCCAGCGTAGTTTTCTTTTCCACTGCC